CCAAGTAGGGCTGATCATTCATGGGTTAGGGTTTATAGTTTAGGGTCCGGAGCTCGTCCCTTTGGTCGCTTAGGGATGTGGGTTTAAGGTCCAGGGTGTAGGGTGTGAATCCTGCACAAAAGTTAAAAAGGTTAGAACTTAGGGTTCTTTGGGGTTTAGCCTCTGGCGTATTCCAACTTTGATTGGGTTTTCTATTCATTACTCTGCGTGGACAATCCTATGACTGCGGAAGGACGGTCGCAAACTGTAAACACACCTAAACCCTAAACTCTTAATCCCTAAACCCCATAAGCCCGAAACCCTAAACTCTACAAGCCTTCCAAACCCTAAACTCTAAACCCTAAAGGACTCTACCGTCCTAGAGTAAAGCCTTCCACCCCGACGCAATAAAGGCACAAAGCTTGCCCACCTGAACACAATTTGGAGGAAGAGGAGACTTGACAAAAAAGTATGAGAATTCCAATGAAGTGCTTAGAACCATACTTCAAACCTGCTCAATTACTACCCATCTCCTGCAACTACAGGTATCCTGCCTCCCACTAGCAGGAGACCCTACACTACAAAGGCTACATGGGAAGCAAAGGGGCGATCTGAGTCGTGGGATGTCCCGGCTTGGAGATACCCCTAACCCTAAACCCCTAATTAAACCCCTTAAAGGGGGCCTGAAAAGTTAGAATAGGGTTTTGGGGTATATTCTACTAGATAACATTACGAAACCCCCAAAATGACTATCCCAAACCCTGGACCCCCTGATCCTGCCAATCCGTGCCTTCCTCAGGACACTGGCGCTCTAGGGAACCACGTAAGCTGGTACGGGCCATAATTCTGTGGTCGAAATGACAACGTGACCGTACAACCGAAAACCCTAAAAGCTAAACCCTAAACCCTAAATCCTAAACCCTAAACCCCAAAACTTAAACCCTAAACCCTAATCCCCGAACCCAAAGTCCTATGTAAATGCATAATCAAAAGAGTTCTAATTGTGAAGGTCCCTGAACCCTAAACCCAAACCCTTAATTAACCCGAAAGGGCCGCAAACCCTCAACTTCGATACGAGCAGCTCCAAACGCCCTTTAACAACTAATACCTTAACCCTGGATAACCTACCTTTTAGGGTTCCTTATTATGATTTCTTTTTTATATGAGTCCCTAAAAATGTAGGTTCTTCGGGGTTGAGGTAATACGTTAACCTACAAGAACCTACTTTTTTGTAGGGCCCGTTGAATTTTCATATTACGGTGTATAAGAAGAACCCACCAAAAAGGTAGGCTTTGTAGTTGAAGGTAGCCAATGCAGGAACAAACTACTTAGTGCCCTAATTTCCATGGAAGTAATAAACTCACAAACATCAAGGCGCCAATTTCCAAGCTCTGCGAGTCCGGTGCGAGCAAGCTCGGAACAAAGGACGTGTCCTTCCCAAGCCCAAAGCCTAAACCCGAAACGGTTTACGTTTGCGGATTTAGGGCTTATAGGGTCTAGTCTAGAATAAAGCCTAGGCCTAAACTTCTTGTGGACCCGAAACAGTTTAGGGTTGCGGGTTTAGGGGTTTAGGGCCTAGAATCGAACTTGGATGCAAGATTCCAAGCATACTGGCTCAAAGGCTTTGCCTACTGCTTTGTTTGGTTGGCGAGCTACAGGCTGCAGGTAACTTTCCAAACCCTGAACCCCTAAAGCACAAAGTATCCAAACATGCAACGGAACGGAACCGCAAGCCTTAAAGTTTAAAGACCACAACACTGCAACATTCTAGAGCGTGCAGTTCAAGCTGTTTGCAGCTGCCTACTTAGAGGGTCCCGTTGACTTAGTAAGCAATGATTCAGTAGGGTTTTGGGCGGAATGACCTCAAACTAGATATCCAAAACATGCCTTTTAGTGTAATGTAGACACCCTAAACCCTAAACCCTAAACCTTAAACCCTAACCTGTCAGCCCATAGCCCCCCAAACCCGACAAGCCCGAAGCGCTACTCGCTTTGAGGCAAGCATTCAAGCGTATGGCGATCCCTACAGCACGAGCATTGACCCCCCAAAAAAGGAAGGAGCAAACCGACCCATGAACCGGATTAAGTTATAATGCAGAAGCCAAAAAGTTACTACCAGTATTATTCTTTGGTGTTGTTATTGTCTTTCTACTACCAAAAGTGGCCAACGCTCCCTAGTCTGATCACTAAGGCCCCTCGGTTATATTAAACAACCCCCGTCCCGGAAGGAGGTGAAGTGGCCATCTTCCGTTCGGTAGAATCCTGTCCATGGCTTAGCTTCCAGGCTTGAGGCAATGCTTTTATACTAGGACCCCCTTTTACCCTGGAGATAAGGGCTCTTTTTGGTATGGGGTGGCTTTATAAGGAATCTAAGAGGACCAAAAGGTAACAACAAGACCCAATGGGAGACCTTGTTCAACTACTTACACCCCTAACACGGTTTATGATGGTCTTCTTGGGTAGGATGGTGGTTGTTGAATGATGTTAGCCTGTCGGACATATGCAGACCCCTGCAAGGATCAATAAATCAAGTTGATATAGGGGCCTTAATACTTGGAATATGGTTTTGGGGCCCATGATACTATAACTATAAGAAGGAACCCACAAAATAGTATTGGTAATTATGTAAACCCCTATATGGGAGTTTTCGAAAATGAAGGACCAAAAATGTCGTACCCTCAGTGGTAGGATCCTTACTATAAGGACCCCCAAACTAAGGTACACCTATATAGTTTGCGGAAACTCTCATATCGAGGGCTTGGCTTTTCCGGGAGGGAAGCCGAAGATTCGAATTGCCGCTTGGCTTTGGGGTCAGCAGTTGGGCTTGTACATGGGTGGTGGTCAAAATTGTGGTCCCTTTTTGGGTATCCAGATAATAGGTGCCGTAGTATATATGAAGGACCCAAAAAGGTACCATATTTTTGACAACCACCCACATGGGAGTTTTCAAAATTAGGGGTAGCTTATATACTTTAGGGTCCCGATAAAAAGCATCCTATTATCTAGGATACCATATTCAGGTCCCGCCCCCATTTTCGGTAACTCCCACATTGTTTCAAACCGCCAAACAATGCTGTCTGGTTCTTAGTAGGGAATGGGGGAATGGATAGGGATCCATTCCCCCATTCCCTACTAAGCACCAGGGAGAATGTGGAAACACTGCCAGGTCAAGGAAGTAAATTGCACTGCGAGCTGGGCACCACATTAAAGCATCTTCAAGCCAAACCTTCGAGTAGGGTCCTAAAGGAGCCTGGATAAGTAGACCAGGCATGTTGGTGCAGCACAAACCCAGACCCCCGGGAGGATCCAAAAAGTAGATCCCTTAATGAGGACTCCTATAAAGTACCCTTAGTAGTATAGGGCCCCAAATTAGGGGATCTGCTTCCCCTTAGACATCCCTAAACCCTAAACCCTAAATCCTAAAGGATCCCAAAAATGAGCCCCTTAAGGAACCCTACTAAATCCCATTAGGGCCCCAAATTAGGGGATCTACTTTCCTTCCTCCCGGGGGTCTGGGCAGTGATGGAGACGACTGATCGGGCTTGCTTGGGGACTTTTCGGGTTTCTGAGGCGTGCTTACTTGGAGGGTCGGGGGACTTAGTAAGCAGGTAGGAAGTATACTTATAAGTACAGTGGACGCCAAAAAGTTGGAACATGCACACCCTAACATTCAGCACTCCATGAGCGAGCGCGTGCAAGTTCCAATTTCGGCATTATGTTCCAAAGTTGGAACATTCTGATTCTGACTGGACCGGCCGGAAAACCCAGTGTCTGTGGATGTCATCAAGGTTGGCCATGGATGATATGGACATCATTATGCTTGGAGGGTGGGGGGGCACCCTGTGGAGGGGAAACAACCTAACCTAGCACTATCCTAAACCCTAAGCCCAGCTTCCCCTGGTTGGGGGACCCCAAAAAAATATACAGTAAATGCTGGGCCCTAAACCCTACGTGCCCGCTTTCCCCTAAAACTTGGGGGGCTAGGCACCCTAAACCCTATGCCCGGTTTGTGTCCTAAACCACCCTGAAAAACCCTGAAACGAAACCACCCCCACACGCAAACCGCAACCCTAGGAACCGGGGGGGCGGGGGGCGGGTTGGGAGGGAGGGTTTGAGGCAACACCAACCATGTTCCAACTTTAGCCTCCAAGATCAAAGTCGGAACCTGTGGCTTGGGGCCAATTTGCTCCAGTGGACACGTTCCAACCTCCCGGCTTCCACCATACCCTAAAAGGGATCCTAATTGGGGTTATGGTACTTATAACTCTATAAAATAACTGCTTAGTAAGTGCCCCGACCCTCCAAGTATGTATCAGGTACCTACGTTGTACAAGAGAGACTACACATCGTACTTGAGGGGTGATGACAGGCTCCATCCAACCCGCAATTCAACGGTCGAAACCATAGGCCCCTAGTATAGGCGCTTAATCTTGGGATCCTCGCATACCTACTATATACCCTCTCTCTCTCTCTCTCTCTATATATATATATATACAACCTGGAGACTCGAACGTAGCATAAATTTCTGCCTCCCCCTTGTTCGTAGCATAAATCTGCAAACGTGCCTTAAACCAGGCATTCGTAGCATAAATCATGTTGCACGTGCGTTTCCCCAATAAACGAGCGTTTCTTGGACTTTGCTGCTGTGTCGAATGCTTGCATGATGAAGCCGCAGTTGTGGCTATGATCATAGCTCTTTTGTTGGCCATAGGGGCCGCAGGCCCCTTGCTTTCCGGGAAATCATCCGGTCCCGTACACGTGCGCCCCCCTCGCTGGTGTGTGCGTATATGTGCATATGTATGTAGAGGAAGCAGCAACCGGTCGCCGTAGGAGAATAACCTTAGCTGCTTCGGGAGGTACATGATTTGACGACAACGATCTTGAGGCGCAGTTTTTTGCACTGGGATTGTTCGTGCTTCGTTCGAATCAATGCGAAGCTAGCAATGCTGGGATGATCTCTGCTGTTCTGGCTCCTAGGGGTCTCGTAGGATTTGCTTTGTGGCACTTTGCTGCATCGCACAATGGGCTCACCGGTGGTCCAGTACTGGCTAGCCAATGCGGTTCTAAGCAATCGGGGCTCTGCAGGATGCCTCACGTTGATTGCTGGAGAATCACTGGGGCGAAATGATTGCATGAATAATGCACAGTGCATAATACCAGTGCTGCGCTACCACGGAATGCGGCCAAGCATTGACGCTATTGCACAAGATGTACATGCATTCTTCCAGATGAGTCGTCCCCGCGGCAAACCAGCTATCAAAAGCTGCCCACCCGCACTTATGGCCGAGTAGCCGTGTATGTGCAGCTTGTATCGAGCTTGAACTTCGTGTAGTCGCTGTAGCCCTGCAGTGTGTGACCGCTGAGGTGAACAGGTTCGGATGCAGGCATGGATACTCAAACGCCTGATATCAATTTTCGGGAGGGCAGCTCGCCGTGGACATGTACCCCGGGAGCAAGCAATGCGGAAGATATATTCAGCAGCGGGGATCCCGCTTCCTGAGAGTGCCTCTCATGCACATAAAGCCGAACACAAGCTTACCCTAGGCTTCTTAAGCAGAATCGCGCAACCTCATCCGAGGAGCCAGTGGAGAGTCATCTTCGGGAGATGAAACCGGCTCTGGGGACAGCGAGAACTCTGAATCAGAGTCCGAGTTCAGTGAGGACCCCGCGGTTTCTTCGCATATCTCCAAAGTCAGTCCAAAGTCTACACCCCCCAACAGCGCTAAACCTAGAACCCAGATATACAACCATGAGACCTGAATTCCTACAACCCCCGACAGTACACATATCTGCACCATGAAAGATGCAGTGAGCTAGACGCAACAATCGCGAATGAAGCCCACAATAGAAAACTTACCTTCAGGCTTAACGTTATAATAACCCGATCAGGACGAGCCAGTGAAGGAGCCCGAGCCCAAAGGTGCCTGGGTTTCACATGCTGGCTAGTCGGATCTGGCTTCACGTACTGTATAAAGCCCCTCTTATAAACCCAGCCTCATCCAGGTTCCAAGCATCCATCGGATGCCTCGGAGGTCAAGGAGTCGGGAACAACGGCTTCTGATTTGCCACGTCTGAGCAGCCGAAGCATGAGTTCTTCAGATAATCCGTGGGTTGCGGAGCCGAGTGCAAGCCTCACCCCGACCGAGAAGTTATCCCCTGTGTCTACTGATGAGTGCCCCGCTACCAGAAGCTTGCTTGCATTTTTCAATCATGTACAAGTCGAAGGCAAACTCGAGCAAACCTACCCCAAATCGATCCGAGGAGATCGCCCGCTGCCGCCGGTGCCCCACTTCCTTGACTCCTCGGAGGCAGAGAGCATAATGGCGGAGCTGGCTCACCAGGAGGCGGTGCTAAAGGAGTTACAGGTCATGGAAGAGCTTCATGCCGAAGAACTTGAGTTGGCCAAGTTGCTTTCTAGATTGGATCTTGACCAGCCCGATGCCCTGCTACCCTCCAAAACCACAATCTGCTACTCGGCTACCTGAATTGTGTGTCTGTCAATAGTACATGGTATTGTGCACGGTATGTATATGGCCAGTGTACTTATCGATCTGTTCAGGTCCCGATCAGGTGGACACGCTCCCCATGTCTTGGGATGATCCCTGCGCTGTGCCTTGGGTTCCTCCGGTTGAGCCCTTGTTGGAGGATGCTTCGAAGCTTGAAGCTGATAGCTGGGCAGAGCTCGGCTTGCACCCGTATGACGGTGACGGTGAAAGCTGCGACGCAAAGCCAGCACTGCATCGAGCTGTGAACATGGATGAAGAGGCTCCCGAGCCCCCCAGTCCAGCAGCATCTGTGAAAGATGCTACTATGGATGATTGCGGTGAAGTGCAAGCTGCTCCTGAGCCTACCGGTTCCATTGCAGAAGATGCTATCGCAGATGATGCCAAAGCAGATGAGAGTGCTGCTGAGCCTACCGGTTCTGCTGCAGAAGGTGCTATCGCAGATGACACCGAAGCAGATGAGAGTGCTGCTGAGCCTACCGGTTCCACGGCAGAACAGGCTATCGCAGATGGCACCGAAGCAGATCAGGCTGCTCGAGAGCCCTCGAGTCCAGATGCTATCATGGACGGTGAGGCAGAGACGTCTTCGGCAGAGCCGGCTGCGTTGAAGCCCCCCGCTTGCTTGAAAGCGCTCATGCCCATCTCACCGGCAGACCAGACGAAGCTTCTCAAGCCCGATCGGGACGGTCGAGGCCGCCGTGGGCGCGGCGGCCGTGGTGGCCGAGGCCGCGGCCGAGGCCGCGCTGGCCGAGGTCGCTGTGAGAGTGATTCTGAGCCTGAAGAGGAAGATGAGTTGTCGGATGACGGGGGTGCTAAGCGGTCCAGGGCTTCCTCTGAGTCTGACCATGACATCGTCAAGAAGGCTCCGAAGAATCGAGCGACTGCCAAGGCTAAGAGCAAAGCCTTGGCCAAACCCAAGGCCAAGGCTGCGGGGAAATCAAAGGCCAAGGCAAAGGCCAAGGCCAAAGGCAAAGCAGTTTCCAAGCATGGGGTGGAGGATGAGGGCCGCGAAGGCCAGGATGAAGCATCGGAGGAGCAGCCCGCCAAGAGGAAACGGCGATCCAGCAAGGAATCCGAGCACCCAACCAAGAAGGCCAAGTGCATGAGGGATGCAAGTGACGACGCCTCGGACAAGGACGAGGAGGACTCGGTTGAAGCCGGCTTCACCGTCAAGGGATCTACCAAGCTATCCCCAGCATCCAAGAGGGCTGCTATCACAAAGGCTGGTGGCAGGGTGGTGTGTGGCAGGAAGGCAACCAGGGCTGCTGAGGATTGCAAGAAGCCGACCAAGGCTGCTGAGGATCGCAAGAAGTCGACCAAGACTGGTGAGGATCGCAAGAACTCGACCAAGGGTGGTGAGGATCGCAAGAAGTCAACCAAGGGTGGTGAGGATCGCAAGAAGTCAACCAAGAACGGCGAGGATCGTGGCAAGAAGCCGGGCAAGGCCGGTGGCGATGTCGGTGAAACTGGGTCCAAGTCTGCGGAGACAAAGGCTAGGCTATCCAGAAAATCCGTTGCGTACCACAAGGCTAGGGCTGCGGCGAAAGCCGCTGGAGCTTCAGACGAGCAGGCCAAAGAGGCTGCAAAGAAGGTTTCCCGCCACGCAACTAAGTAATGAAATCCTAGCTTCTCCCTCGCTTTCGATCTAGTTATCTTTTGCTCTCTCAGTCTCTCTCTCTCGTTAACACCGTGAGGCTTACCGCGAGACCGAGTAGATCCAGATCGATTTGGGGAAGGACATGGGTTCATCTGTTCCACTCTGGATATGATCGAGCTTGGCTGTGCAAACCGGGTTGTCATACGGACTACGATGCTGGTCAGAGTATGACTAGGGTATTCACCGTGTGCCATGCACATGTGCTGCCTGCCGAAGACTGTCTCAGCAGCGTCTCACGTGGTAAGTGCCGCAGATGTAGAACACGTGGTGAGTAATTATTTGTGCCGGGCTATAGAGTCAGCCAGAGTGCAGTGGATGTCACCTCGAAGCCGCCGGCTTTGTCGAAATGTGCTGTGCCGCTATGCATGCATCTGCAGTGCTTGTAAATGAATGCATAAACCTTATTAACGCTACCTCCTAAACCCTAAGAGCTACGGGTGGGAGTATTGAATTTTGGTTATATAGGGCCGGCTTGTATATGCCCCGGAGATCCTATACCGAAACCTATTCTGTAAACTCACTAAAAACCCGAACCTGAGCCGTACACCCAAGCTTAAACTAAGATTCGCAATCGTGGCCAGGCAGATGCCGAAGGCTGAGGGTTGGGCCATCCGTGGTGCCATCTCTTCAGGAGGCGCCCCAGGGCCTTTGCGCACGTGATTCGTTTGGCCATGCATGCTGATCGATGCATACTTGAATCCTTGCAGTGTTTCAAGCCCCAGCTGCACGAGAGGGTCCAGGGTGTTGCATCACAGTACCGAGCAAGATGCATCAAATAGCTTGGTTGGTAAATAGACATGGATGGGCTTCGTGACGAGTCTATCGTCGTCAACCTGATACAGGCAGGTGCCCCCAAGGTGGGGTGTGTCTTGCATCATGGTTCTGATGGTAGCACAGCAAGTACATGTACAGTCTGCACACATGAAGCATGCAGATCTTCATCGGGATACTGCTTCTCATTATCTGGTCCGAGAACTTGCCGGACCCGAAACCTCGATATTCTTTCTTCGACTTGTTCGCTGGGAAAGCACAAGCATCTACTGTCTGGTACAAAGCTTAGCCGTACATGGGGATGTGGATGTGTATTGTGCATGTTTTACGCATGCATGTATACATGAACTCATGCAAAAGCCAGTTTTCCAAGGAAGAGAGCGGGCCATTCCGTGGCCACATTCGATGCGTGGGGGATTGATCTCGACTTGGTTGCTGCTCTCCCCACCAGAGCTGTAATGAATGTAGGTGTGGCTGGCTAGCACTCTCCACAGACTGGACCCTGTCTCTCCCTCTTACTTCCACACGTGCAATCCTATGCAGGCAGAACCGGCGGCCGTTCCTTTTGCACTCACTGCCGGCGGCGGTTCGTCTGTGCAACGGGATAGCTCTGATTGCTCAGGATAGAAGACACATATAGCACTTAGCTATGGGCATTGACTTGAGCCAAACGTTGCGTTGGCGGTCACATAGAAAGGTAAAGATGAGGGATGCGTAGCATGCCCCCTAGAGTCGAGGGACGCGTAGCGTGCCCCCTTCTCTTGCACTTTACACGGTCTTGCTCACAGCTCTTATAGTGACACCTTAGAACTTGACAAGGCATCGCAGTCCGTTCGCACCCCCCATGAGTTGCGTCTCCGACGCTGCTCACCCGGAAGATGGCACGATAGGACAACAGAAAATGTTCCGCCGCAACGTTGACATTGAAAATCAGAGCTTTGCATCCCAATTAGAAACGTTGTGACACTCATCTACGTCAGTAACGATCCCCTGAAATAACAAACGAATCAGGCGTCACCGAAGAAAGAAGCATTCGCGATGGCATTCCATGGGCGAAGCTCAGAGGTCACGAACTGATAGGCGAGGAAGATTAGGCGTTGTCTCGCCACCATCTTCGCGTTGACGTAGGATCGCGGTCCCAGGGCCGGAGGTTCTCCTCTGGATACTGGTTCCTCGGCTTTCCTTTGTCTTTGCCTTTGTTTCGCCCTTTGCCGGCGATGTAGTCGTGGTAGGAGTTGGTGTTCCAGCCACCATGTTGTTCACCTCCGGTTCTTCCACGCCCTTTTGAAGGTCCCTTGGATGAAGAAGCGCTTTCACGTTCCTCCGTAGTGACAGGCGTGTCCAGGATGGATGTACCACCTGGAGGAAGATAGTCAGCGGCCGAAATGTGGTGTAGGGCTTCCGTACGCTTGGTCGTCGGGTTTTGCTGTCTCTCAGCCTTGGATCTGTTCAATCTGTCCATGAAATGCGCAGGCATTTGCACACTGTGGTCCACCAGCAAGCCGATGGTCTGGACTGACTGATCAGAATGAGTCAGCAGAATACCGACGGGGTCGATGTACAAGAAGTCCACTGGTCCAGTTGGCGTTGGTCGTAGCACTGAGAATTGTTGGTGTCCCGTCACCATTGGAATCACCTCGCACAGGACGTTCAGGCAGCAAAAGTGCATAGCCTTCACATCTTCATCCCTGTCGCTCTTCAAGTAAGTAGTAGGGTTGAAGTTGTCCCTGCCAATTCCCATCATGTTGGCTCCCCGTGTAAGTAAAGAAAGCATCTGGTTCGTCCGGAAGCGCTTCAAGGTGTAAGTCCCGTTGGGATCATACTGTTTGAGGTTCTCAGGTTCCTTGGCAAAGCGAATGATCTCCTCATCAGTCACGTCCTTGCTCACACCCGTTTCCCTATCCACTGCCGCCAAAGATCCCCACTTTCCAAGCACATCATAGCGTTGGCCAAGTGCGAAACTTTCCCTCATCTGAAACAACGGCATAGTCGCCCACTTTGCGAATCCTGACCAAGCTTTGTAGATGGATCTGCATACCACGTATGCCATGTACGACAGAGCGGTCATGTTCGCGTCAATGCAATGGGCATTTCGCTTTCCAGAATAGTAAGATGGCTGCATGGCGGTACGTGCAAGTTGTAGCTCAGGATCGATGTTCAAAGACTGGCCGGTAATGAAGACGGGACGGCGTTCCTGTGCAATTGCTTCTGGCACTGCATCATCGAAGTCCTCTCCAGGCTCTATGTCCATTTCTTCATCGGGTTCCTGTTCTGGATCGTCTTCCGCGATGACAGATGGTTCTGGGATTTCTTCAGGTTCCGCAACGGTTTCTACCTCCATGGCTTCCTGCTCCTCTTCTGGCGCCTCAGGCACTGCGGCTGCTGCGGCTTCCATTGTCTGAGCAATGAAGTCACTGGGGATCTCCGTAGGAGTCTCCCGTTGTGGAGAACCTTGGTAATATCCGCTCGAAATGAACTGTGACCAGCAAGACGTGCATCGGGAGAAACATGCTGGAACGATGTTGTAGCATGCCGGGCATACCCTCATTCTCCGTCCATCCTCGTCTCTGCGTAGGTCTTCGGGTCGCCAATTCTTGATGACAAACTTGATTCCTTTGTCCATGTAGTGATGCCGAACCGTGTTCTCCCTGTGGGACTCCAGGACAGTCGTGAGGTCTCGAATGATCTGCTCCTTGCTTGTGTCGTGGGGTCCAGGAGGCATCTCGCAAAGCAATTCCATGATCTTGCTTGGCGTTCGGTATCTCTCGAACTCAGGAAGCAACGGTGATGCATTGTAGTCCAACACCAGCTCTTTCTCCAACCTTTCATCGTAGATCTTTTCCACCAGAGCGAAAGAGTGTGTATCTCGAGGATCAGGGACGCAAAACCATACCTCCTTGACGAAATGGAAAGGTATCGTTCGACCAACGATCATGATGCCGCTGTCTGTGATACGTCCATCCTCTCGTGCAAGATCTTGCGATGGGACATGAAGGACCGCCAATGGCATGTGTTTGGCGTCTCGTCCATGTACTCGCATCTTGGTCGTTGCGTTCCGGTGATCGAACGGCGCAAACACCCCCCAGTAGCTGTGGAGTCTGCCACCTTGGTTGCCTCGGAATTGGCGCCTATGGTCGAAGTCCCCGTCGGGGTCCTCCGAACCAGGCATGATGCCTTGCGTGACAATGGAATCCAAGTTGCGGCATGCCGTAGCGTGGAACGCACCTCCAAGACGTTGCAAGAGGGTCATAGATGGAGATATTGCGAACCTGTTCTTGTCCAACTGAAGCAAATTGTTCTGGGGATCTGAATGCGCAGAGTGACCACTCGTAGCCCGAACTGCCCATGGCTTCACCCAGCCGTTGCATAGGTTCAGGTACCTCTGGCCATGCCGACAATGATCGTTGTTCTGGATCTCCGTGATCTGGTCCTGAACTGATACCAACCTGTTCGAACCTGCTGATCCAAGAACTTCCGTGCCGGGGTCCTTCACTCTCACACCCAGAAACTGCAACCGAATCTTGGCCTTGTTGCGTTTCGTGGCTGCAATCATGTTCCCCTGGAACAATAGCTGAAGTCTTTCATTGTACACTCTCTTCTTCTGTTGATCATCGGTCCTTGAGACCCCTTCGGTGATGCGTCTGCTTTCATGGGTCCATAGTGGCTCATGCCTCACCAAGTCTTCGATCATCACCCATCCTCCTTCATCACATTTGATGACACTGTTGAATGCCACCTGGCACCTGTTGTCAAGCCATTCCGAGCCTGGGCGCCTGGCGATTCTGTGGCGCAAGTCAGACTGGATGCATGATAGCGCCCAATCCGCGTTCAACCTGCGCTGACGGGTGATGTTGCGAAGGACAACTTCGTTCACGATGTCCCACCGATTGTTGATGAAGCTTGCACCCTTGGTTGGGATCAGGTCGAGAATCCCGCATCGGATTGGCCTTCCGCCGCCGATGGATTCATAGCCTGGATTGGTGTAGCTATGAGTGTTTTCATCGTAAGCAAAGCTAGGACGGTCTCCTCGTTGAGGTAGGCGTCGGTCGCGATGGTCCGAAAGCTGCTCAATGATGTCCACCACTCGCTGGCTATTCTCTGGTCCCGATTCCTGCAGTGGTACGCCACAAGCATCATTTAGGCCCCGACGATTCTCCACATCCGTGCAGAGATTGTGTTTGTTCTCA